GCTGATCAGTTTCAGCAGCAGCTGACTTGGGGACGCTTGGGGTTCTTAAGTTGAATCTGTATGTAAGTCAGAACTGGCGGTCAGTGTCAGCAGCGGCTTTGCTCTGGCAAAGCCTCAGAGGCGTGGGACTGCGCCACGGCTGCAGCTTTGCTCCCGGTGTCCCTGGTCTGCTGGAGACGGTCCCCAGCTTTTCTCGCCCCAGAGCAGCTTTTCTCGCCCCAGAGGTCGAGGTGGCGGGACCGCTGCCTGTGAGCTCCGGGGCGAGAAAGCCCCGTTCGTAAGTGCGGATCCGACGTAAGTATTCAGGTGGGAATCTCCTGTATATCAACTTGTCCTTCTCGCCTCCTCCCTGGCTTCTTGCTAAAATGGCCTGTGTGCTGAATGCCAAGAGAGGGCTGCAGCTGAAGATCCCAAGCAAAAGGAGGTGCGTGGGTTTAGTAGACATCCCTTAGCTTGGCATCTCCCATTCACTAACTTAGTCAAAGGAGCCATCTAGCTTGCTGGCTTATGAGAATTCCTTTCTAAGATGCCTCTCTCCCCCTAACTATAGTATAGGGAATCTAAGTGCCAAACTCAGGCTTTGCAAATCTCTAGGCACCTATAAATTAGATATGGCAACAGAAAAGTAGTGTGCGGCCTCAACAACAATATGGCATCTGAGCCAGCTCTGCTTGCAGAGGGATGGAGAGCTTGAAAACTTGCCCAAAAGGCAATGGCTAAGCATGGTGGGCCCATGATATGTGGCGACAGACAGAAGACTGTAGAAGTTCCTTAGGCTCTCCATTAGCGATAGGCTAACCCTTGCATCCCTCCCACCACTAGGCCCACCTTCCTATAATCCTGTGGGGTTTTAAACGCAATGTTTGTCGTTTCCATTTTTGCACACAAGCAGATGTTTGCACATCAAAGGCTAGCCTCGTGTCCTTGCACAGAGCTTCAGAGCTGTGGTAAAGGTCAACCAGCATAGGGGAGAGAGTTTTTCTACTTCCCTCTTGGATCCAGTGTGATTGTGTGAGGCTAGTCAGTGGTGCATGCCATACTGAGGTAGGTGTGTTCCAAAGAAAAATCTAAAGACAAGTTATCCCTGGAAATTCTTTAAATTTGTAAGTAATGATGCCATCCTTTCCAGCAGGGGTGACCGGTGAAGGGGAGCATGGGGGGCTACTGGCCATATGACTCCCTCCCAGCCAAGGGAAGGGCTGCACAATTTCCATCTGCTCCAAGTCCTGCCTCTCCCTACCCCTGCTATGCCGCCTTCCTGCCCTCGTTTCACCCTTTCCCCTCCTCTTCCTCACCTTTGCTTCACCCCCTGTCTTTACTCCACATCTGCCCCATCTCTTCCCCCAACAGATGTGACCCAGTGCCAGCAATGGTCCCCTCACTCATCATCAGCAGCAGGGGAAGCATATCAGTGTGTCCCCAGCTCACTCTGCTCCCCCAGCTGCATCACTCTGTTTCCCACTGGTGAGTACAGAATCGGCCGTGCCCCTCTCTCAAGCGACACACCAGGCGAATAGAACAAGCAGGAGCCATGTAGCGCCTCTTCCACTGCCACTGCCTGTGAGTCTGGGGAAGGTGGACCCCTGCTGCTGGCACCAGAGCTCTCTGCTTGTCCCTACATCCTTCCAGAGATTTTGGTCCTGCCAGCTGCTGGCTGGTCCCTTACCCCTCCCATCCACCGCATTTGTGCCTCCTTATGAGACCCTATTTTCCACGCTGTGGATCATATTGCAGGAAAGATGCAGCTTCCACTCACTCAGCTTAGTGTTTAGCCT